CTTGCCACCATCCATCACATCCACACACCCAAGGGGTGCAAATAAAAATGCCACCATGCAAACAACTCGTGAGTAACCGCTACCAGGCCCAGGGAGCTCACAAATCTTTGGGATGAGAAGTGGCTGCTGGCACAAGGAGCGGGTCGCGTTCCGGCGTTAATTGCCCATGGAGTAGCAGCAGGTCTGCGTGACAGGGACGAGGCCAAAATGAACTGCCATGCCTAATGCAAGTCCTCTTCTATTATAGTTTCTCTCTGCTTCTCTGCTGCTCACGGGAACGGCGAGCCCAAAATAACGGCGGCAGTGTATGACTTTAAAAGGGCAAATTTTAAAAAGCCCAGAGCAGTCGCTGGCATCAGTGAAAGCAAGGAACCTGCTTAAAGCTTCTACCAAAGACCCCAAAAGTCACAAACCTGGAAAAACAGCAAGATTTAAATAATGAAAAAGCCATTCTGGCAAGAATGAGACGTGGAAAATGCGTGGGAATGTGATCTTTCTAGGCACAGGGAAGGAGAGAGGAACGGCACTGGAAAGGAAACGTCCGGTGTCAGTGACTGATGGGGACCTCTAAAGGAATCCATTAAATCCATACAGCTAACAGAATTAATTGAAAAATAAGGCACTTTTTAAGCATGCCAGGAATAGAGAATTAGATATCTGCCAGATTCACTATTAGGTACCGTCAGTAAAACTGATGGAACAGCTGCCAAAGAGGAGCAGGGGAGCCCCCAGACCAAGCACCATGTGCACCCCCTGTGCCAAGGCAGGGCTTTTCCCACCAACTCCCTGTGCAACCTCTTTAAAACCCCTCAATGGCCCCTTAAGGCCCCTTGATGACAGAAATTTCAGTATTGCCAGGCGTCTGCCAAAATAAAGCATTTTCAGACCAACTGGTGGAACTCGGAAACTTTGTGCAGTCAGAGTATTTGGGTAAAAGGCAAGAGCAGCAGGCAACCCAGGGTCAGCTCCAGCTAGAACAGCAGGACAGAAATCTCAGGTAAATACACGAGCCAGAGACTAAAAATACAATTCCAATCAGCCAGCTGAGTTTCCTGGAATTAGATCTATTTAGGAGCCTTATTATCTACCTAAAGGCATTATTGTTGCCTCGACGCAGTGTTTGCCCACGTTTCTCCAGAGCACAGAATACCCCGAGGATGGATCTCACAGCAGGTGCAACCAAACTCCACACAGCATCAGGTGTGGCTGCTCCCTGTGCAGAAACTGCATCCCAGCACCTTCCTCGGGGATTTTTGTCACTGCCCAGTCCCATCCCTGACCCCTTCCCGGGATTATATTAAATGTACATCTCTAGCACGGAAAGCCGCAGTAACTCACGGATGGATGGATGGATGGATGGATGGATGGATGGATTGGATGGATGGATGGATGGATGGTTGGTTGGTGGCCCAAATCACCTCAGAGAGGTCACAGTGGGACAGAGCACGGGGTTGTGTGGCAGGGAGATGGACAGAGAGCTCTGCCAGGGCCAGGAAAGGTTTGGGATCAGCACGGAGCGTCTCCCGCCTAAGGCATAGCACAAAGCGTGCGTTCCCTGAGGGGACAGTGGGAACGCGTCCCTAAGGATCAGAAAAGCGAGCTCACACCCACGGCTGCACCCAGATGGGCACCTGGCCACACAGCCACGTCCCCAGGGTGCCACATGAGAGGGGACAGCACCCTCGGGCTCCCGAGCAGCGGGGATGGAGGGGACACAGAGCAGGCAGTGACCTCCGCGATAAGGACACGGCAACATCCCCCACCTTGCAAGTCAAAACTAGATAAGTTCAACCTTGAAATGAGATAGCATCTCTCCAGAGTGAGAGCAATTAAATGTTGGCACAAGGTAGGGAGGAAGGGGGTGGCGGAGGGAGGCGGGGGGGGGGGGACTCGGCGTTGCTCAGAGCCATTAACACAAAATTAACAGGCTGCTTGTTTAACCCGGGCTTCTGCAAGGAGGATGAGCTGCAAATGCTTCCCTGCAGTTGCATTTCTGCAACACCTCCCACCTGGGGGGGAGTGGAAAGTTTCAGAAGCATTTTCTGTGCCTGGGAAGAGTCCTGAGTGGTAGGAGAACAGCAGGGTCGTGCTAAAAAAAGGAAAGATCAAGGCGAAAAGTCTGAAAAGCAAGGTTTGCAAGCACCGGGTGAGATTCATGTCGCTTAAATTTAGACCTCTCAAGCTCAGCTATCCAAATCAAAACCAGCATCCCGAAAGGCAGTTGCCTGGCCTGTATGTGAGGCTTTCCGAAGAGGGAAACAAGCCTCATTTGGAGGCGCCTGTCCCCCCTTTTTGGTGGGTGACAGCTCGGAACAGACCCTTTTAGGGCCCTCAGCAAGGGCAAACAAACAGCATCCACTAGAGCAGCTCCACGTGCAAGCGAGTTGGCTCCCGCAGCCTGGAAATCTGAGGGGTAATTCCAGCCCTGAATGCCCGCTCTGGAAATTTTGGCAGCCCAGGGGGCAGGAGCGGGACAACAGCGAATCCAGCTCCTTCAGGACTCTGTTCTGGGCAGAAAGAAGGGACAAACACGACCCTCTGCCTGGAGGGCTCGGCCTGCAGAGCGGGATGTTCCCAGATCAATGTCGTTCTTTGCAAACACGGGTCATTGGATTGCGATTGCAGGTTTTATCAGTCCTCGCTAACAGCCCGGGCTCAGCTGCAGGAGGGAAAGGACTGCGATGAATCACAGCCAGAGGCTCGTTTAGGTTGGAAAAGCCCTCCAAGATCACCGACCATTAACCCCGCACTGATAAACCCCCCTCTGACTCATATCCTCAAGTGAGCCCGACTCCGCTCGGCTGTGCCTCCAAGGGGTACGCGCTGACGGCTCTCCCAAGCGCAAGGGCATCAGTGGAACAGGAATTATAATCGTGTCCCTTTGCCCCCTCCTTTCTCGTAGGGATGGGGACTGCTGATGCTCACCGGCTAAGTGTGACATTTATCCACAAAAGTCCAGCTCTGGTCCTTATTCCTGCAATATCCTCATTACAGTCCTGACCTCCCTCTCCCTGCAAACCTTCGCGGGGTTTGTCACCTTCCCCCTGACTGACACCTGTCCAGCCCTGCAAGGTCAGAGCTGCCACCCCTGATCACGTCCACGGTGCTCAAAACGATGTCCCTGTCCCCAGGCCCCGCTCTGCCCGAGGCTGGGATCCTGCTCAGACCAGGACAGGGAAAAGCACTCTGGTTTGCTGGGACGTTCCCAGCGCCAGACAGGATTAGTCGTGTCTAATTAACTGTGAGCAGCACAGAGCTGACTGCAGAGACCCCATCCCTTAGCAGCAGCCAAGCTCTGTGTGTCCACTACCGAGCCAGCTGCTCGGACAAGGGGAACCCTGCACGTCCCCTCCTATGGGCACCATGTCCCCAGGCACAGCCAGGCTGGCAGAGGTGCCCCAGCACCTCTGACACCCGGCAAAGGCCGAGCTCTGAGCTCTGCAGCCCGGGGAGCCTCTCCCCTGCCCGCCCCACGCCTCGGGGAGGAGGGAGGGATCCTCTGTGTGGGGACAGCCCAGCAGAGCCACTGCCACACCAGGGTCGGGTCTGCCTCCCCCTTTCTGCTCCTCACACCACAGCAGCCCGGGATGGATGTCCCCAGCCAAACTCTCCTTCCCCACACGCCAGGCATGTCCCAGTGCCATCAAACTGTCACCACCTGCCACCTGCCCCCGAGGCTCTGGCCCAGGTGAGAGGAGATAAACCTGACCGAGAGCAAACGCAGCCTGCCCTGGAGCAGGGCAGAGGGAGAGGAGCAACCTTCTCTCTCTCTGGGCACCGGGAAGGGCTCCAGGGACCCGCCAGGCAGTGACAGCGGGTTTGTCTGGGTGAACACACGGGTGTGCACAGAGGGACACACATGGCACGAGTGGGACACACACGGGACCTGCACAGAGGGGCACACATGGCACGAGTGGGACACACAGGACCTGCACAGAGGGGCACACATGGCACGAGTGGGACACCCACGGGACCTGCACAGTCATGGGGCACAAGTGGGACACACAGGACCTGCATGGCCATGGGGCACGGGTGGCACACACAGAGCCCGTTCGCAGGGCACGAGTGGGCACACAGGGCGGGTACAGCCCATTACGGCACCCATGGATGGATGGATACAGCTCACAGGGACACCCCGGGGCACGCAGGGACTCACAGGGCAGGTACAGAGCCATGGGGACCGTGGGCACACAGAGCACGTGTGGGCTCGCAGGGCACGAAAGGACACAGAGGGACCGTGTGGGCAAATAGGGCACGTACGGACACACACCGCCCAGACAGACAGACAGACAGGGCACATACAGACACACGCTGCCCGGACAGACAGGGCGCATACAGACACACACCACCTGGACAGACAGACAGGGCACACACGGACAGACAGACAGGGCACATACAGAGACACATCGCCCAGACTGACAGACAGACGGAGCACATAGAGACATACATGTCCAGGACAGACAGACAGGGCACATACAGACACACATGACCGGGACAGACAGGGCGCACAGACGAACACGGACAGACCGGCGGGCACGGACAGACAGACCGACAAGGCACACACAGACACACACAGAGCCCGGACAGACAGACAGACAGACAGGCAGGGCACACACAGACACTCGGGCACGGACAGAGCCGCGAGGCACGGACACGCAGACAGGGCACGGCGCCCGAACGAGCCCACAGGGCACACAAAGACGCACCGAGCCCGTGTGGAACGGCGGAGCAGCAATGCCGGTGTCTCCGCTCGCCCTCGCAGGCAGCCCGCCGGCGCTCCCGGCGGTTCCAATCCCTCCGTTCCGGGCGGGGGGCTCTGGGGCACGGGAAGGACGAGGCGACACCGGCACCGCTCCCAGGGACGCTCCCGCGGGCGGTCCCGCACGGGGCACGGACACACGGACACACGGACACGGACACACGGACACGGACCCGCCCGGCCCCGCTCAGCGGCAGCGCCCGCCGGGGCTCGGGGGCAGCGCCGGGGCCGCCGCACTCACCGGGGCCGCCGCGCTCGGCTCCGCCATGGCCCGACCGGCACCGGCACCGCGCCCGCCCCGCCTGACGTCACCCCCGGCCCCGCCGCGCCGGCACCTGCGGGGGGCGGGGCCGCCGCCGCCACCCCCCGGCCCCGGAGGCACCGCCGCGCTCCGGGCATCCCTCGCCGTGCCCGCGAAACGACGCTGCGGAGCTCGGCGCCCCCCTCGCCATCCGCGGGAGGAGCCGCCCGGGGGTCCCCTCCTCCCCCGCCGTGCCTGCGAAAAGCCGCCCCCGCATCGGGAACCCCCACCCGTTCCGGGGAGGGACCGCCCGCGGTCCGGCCATCGCTCGCCATGCACAGGAAAAGCCGCCGGAGGGGAGCGAGCCCCTCTCGCCGTCCCCGGGGGAAAACCGCCCTGGGGTCGGTCCGGTCATCCCTCGCCATCCCCGGGAGGAAACACCCAGGGGTCCGCTCACCCCGCTCCCCCCTCGCCATCCCTCGGTAAAGCTGCCCCAGGGGTCCGCTCCCCCCTCGCCATCCCCGGGCGGAGCGGCACGGAGAGGTCCGATCCCCCTCATTGTGGCCGGAGGGAGCCCGGTGATCCCGAGCATCCTTCCCCATCCCCGGGGGAACCCGGTGAGCCCGAGCATCCCTCCCCATCCTCGAGAGGAGCCCAGTGAGCCCGAGCATCCCTCCCCATTCCCGGGAGAGCCCGGTGAGCCCAGCATCCCTCGCCATCCCCGGGAGGAGCCCGGTGAGCCCAGCATCCCTCGCCATCCCTGGGAGGAGCCCGGTGAGCCCAGCATCCCTCGCCATCCCTGAGAGAGCCCAGTGAGCCCGAGCATCCCTCGCCATCCCTGAGAGAGCCCGGTGAGCCCGAGCATCCCTCGCCATCCCTGAGAGAGCCCGGTGAGCCCAGCATCCCTCGCCATCCCCGGGAGGAGCCCGGTGAGCCCAGCATCCCTCGCCATCCCTGAGAGAGCCCGGTGAGCCCAGCATCCCTCGCCATCCCCGGGAGGAGCCCGGTGAGCCCAGCATCCCTCGCCATCCCTGAGAGAGCCCGGTGAGCCCAGCATCCCTCGCCATCCCCGGGAGGAGCCCGGTGAGCCCGAGCATCCCTCGCCATCTAAGACAGAAGCCGCCCAGGGTATCCGCTCCCCGTTCCCTGGAGGCGCCGCCGGTGCGGATCTGGTTCCCCGCTTGTGCCCCAGCCGCTGCGAGGAGCCGAGGGAGGGGGATCCCGCCTGGCCCCCGCCTCGGGGCATCCCTTGCAGCGGAGGGTGCGGAGCAGCCGGACCCTCCAGGCTGGGCGTTCTGCCCTTTCCCCTGCCCGTGCCCAACGTGCACTCGCTTATCTGTTTTAACCTGTGGGTTTGAGGGTCTGCCCCGAGTCATCGTCCCCGTGGGACCCGTTCTGGGGCCGCTGTGGCCCCGGGGGCTTGGCAGTGTCCCCTCGTGTCCCCGCGCTCCGGGGTGTTCCCTGCGGGGAAGGTGTGATGGATCACAGGTGAGGCAGACGAGCTCTTCCTACCCGCGGGTGCCTTCACCCACTGAGCGGCCTCAAAGGGAAAAAAAAAAATCACCGTGCGCTGTATTTACAGCGTGAAAGAGCAATTAAAGGAAGCTGCTTCAACAGTCTAAGTGGAGGAAGCGTGATAGCTCAATAGTTATTGATCCCCTCCAGACAGGCGCGCTGCTTTGTTGGAGCTGAAGGAACCCTGCCTGATGCAAGGGAAGCGGTGAGAAAAAATAAAAAATGGTCCTGTAAATTAAAACTCCCAGGGAATTACATGGGAGGAAACGAAGGTGTATAAGCAATTTCTGGTGGCATAGTAATCTGTTACTCTACTGTTTTGCTGTCTAGGATTAAAATGAATGTTCCCATCCAGTTTTCCCGTGAGCAGGAAGGTATTCAATAGAAGCTTGTGCCTTGTGCGGATGGAAGGGTGGAAACAGAGCAGAAAGAGGAATAGGAGCATGGGCAGTTGTAGTTAAAGCCTCCCAGGGAAAATGCCCCTGTGTGCTCTCTGTGCAAAATGTGGAGGTTATTTGGCCCCAGGCGACACACACAGAGCCAGGGACACTTAAGGGCATCGTGGGGCCCTCCTGGCAAAGCCTAGTGCTGAAATACGGGGCTGTTTGGGTGAGGGTGTTCTCAGGCAGGGCTGTTGTGTGGCATCCTGCTCCAATGTGTCACTGCAGCAAACACACAGTGTCATGCCTGGCTGCAGCACCGTGACCCTGGTCTGGCCCTCAGCACAGGGTTCCAGCCCTGGAGTGGCCAGCAAAGGGCAGAGTTGGAGCAGGGGATGATAACTGGCCACCCCAGCCTCAGGATGAGACTGAAGCACACAAACCCTGTGCCATGGGAGTGTTCCTAGCACCTGCCCTGCTGGGGTGAGGCAGCATCTGAGGGCTCTCCCCACACAGATCCAGCCCTTCGGCTTGTGGCACAGGCATGGGCTGGTGTCTGAATACCTGGGCCAGTGAGATCTGGAATCAGAGAATCACAGAATCACAGAATCACAGAATCACAGAATAATGAGGTTGGAAGAGACCTCTAAGATCATAGAGTTCAACCTATGCCCTAACACCTCAACCAGACCATAGCACCAAGTGCCATATCCAGCCTTTTTTAAAACACATGCTTCCATCATCTCCCTGGGAAGAGCATTCCAGTGCTTTATTACTCTTTTGGTGAAAATTTTTTTTCCTAATATCCAACCTCTACCTTCCCTGAAGTAGAGGAGGCCACCAAGAGGATCAGAGGGCTGGAGCACTCCTCCCATGAGGAAAGGCTGAAACAATTGGGATTGCTCAGTCTGGAGAGGAGAAGATTTGGGATGACCTGATTGTGGCCCTTCAGGACCTGAAGGGGCTGACAAGAAGGATGAAGAGAGACCATTTACAAGGGATGGAGTGACAGAACATGGGGAATGGGTTCAAACTGAAAGAGAGCAGGGTTAGATGGGATATTGGGAAGGAATTCCTCTCTGTGAGAGTGGGCAGGCCCTGGCCCAGGGTGACCAGAGAAGCTGTGGCTGCCCCTGGATCCCTGGAATTGTCCAAGGCCAGGCTGGATGGATGGGACAGTGGAAGGTGTCCCTGCCCATGGCAGAGGATGAAGAAGATGCTCTTCAAGGTGCATTCTGCGACTCCATGATTCCCTCTCAGAATTAGTAATAGCACTGAAACCCATTCATGTTTTCTTCTCAGGGGGTAGGCATTGGTTTGGTTGGTAGGAGCTTGTTTTGGGTGAAGAGCTGGGGTATGCGGGTGTTTGTCACCAGCGCTGCAGGCAACCAGGGCAGCACCTCGCGGGACCTTGGCAGCGTCCCCGGCGCGGGGAACAACAAACGCTGGCAGTGCCCCGGGCTCCCACACCGCCCCGGCAACGGCAGCGAGGCTTGGCAGGGTCAGCGCCCAGCGCCCAGCACAAAGGGGCTCTGTGCGGAGCGGTGCTTAACCCCTCATCCCGGTGGAGCGGAGATTAACCCCTCATCCCCGCAGAGCATCCTCCCGCAGGCTCCGGTACCCCAGAGCTCTGTGCGGAGCGGGGATTAACCCCTCATCCCGCGGAGCATCCTCCGACAGACTCCGGCACCCCAGAGCCTCTCCGGACCCGTGATTAACCCTTCATCCGGCAGAGCATCCTCCCGCAGGCTCCGGCACCCCGGAGCCCCTCCAGACCCGTGATTAACCCTTCATCCCCGGGAGCACCCTCCCGCAGGCTCCGGCACCCCAGAGCTCTGTGCGGAGCGGGGATTAACCCCTCATTCCCGGGAGCATCCCCCCGCAGGCTCCGGCACCCCGGAGCCCCTCCGGAGCGGGGATTGACCCCTCATCCCGCAGAGCATCCTCCCGCAGGCTCCGGCACCCCGGGGCCCCTCAGGCAGCAGGACCCGCCGCTCCCGGCCCGCGCTGGGTGCCAGGGCGCGTTTCCAGGCGGGATGGAGACCGACAGCGCCACAAACAACTTAATTAAACACCGCGGAGCCTGACGAGATAATCGCGGCCCCTGACTGGATAATCTGCGCGGCATCCTCAAGCGCGAGGGATGGTGCGCATCTCTTTTCGAGCAGGGGAAGGAAAGCTCTCAGAAAGCTGCCGGAGTGTTTACATCAATTTCCCGGTGATTGCTGAGGAGGGCTCTGGCACGCTCGATCAGAGCCGGCGGTGCCCGGGGTGGGTGTGGGTAGCGGGAGCCGTGACCATCTCTTTTTCTCGCCCCGGCGCTGTGGTTTTTAATCCAGGCTCTCTCTCTCCGCGGTGAGAGACAGCCACGAGCACAGGTGAGTCAAACGCAGCAAGGCGTGGCTTTAGTCCTGCCTTGCCAGGCGTGGGCTGTCGGATGCTGCCTTCAGGGAGAGGATGCTTATCTCCATTTCCAACACTTTTATTGTCGTGGGCTGAGGGAGCATTTTCATCACCCAGCCACAGCCCCACAGCCCGAGATCCACCCCCGTCACAGGCGGAGGAGCCAAGAGGCACAGGAGGGATGCTCAGGCTGCTCTGGGAGCCTGTGCCCTGTTCGGGGCTGGATTTCACCGTGCTTGTATAAAAGGGCTGTCACACTCACTGCAAAGTGCTTGTCTTGCGCAATATCCCTCTGTCTCCCATCACAGGATGCATTCAGCCTCTTTCAGGGTTTAAATCACTGGCTGCTAAAATAAAAGGGACTGGAGTGTCTCATCAGGAGCAAGTTTCAGACATCCCCTGCCAGATCCGGGCGTGCTGACACCGGTGAAGTGACACCAGTCAGGCTGGCACTGTCGCTGCCCGCTGGGTACAGCACACTCAGCACATCCTCCTCGGCAGCCGCGGCACCACCTTTTCCAGACACATCCCTGGAGCTCCACCAGCCCTTGGAGCACCGTGCAGAGCTGGTGCAGCGCACCCCGGGATGAATCTTTAACGCCTTGGATGAACCCTACCTGCAGCAGCACACCCCTTAATCTTTAACGCCTTCACAGGCCCAGACACAACAGGCAGAGAGCAAAGGCAGAGTTCTTTTTTCCAGAACGAAGGCAGAGTTCTTTTTTTCATAACAAATACCATAAATGAAGAACTGGTG